GACCTGATTGCTTGAAATCCATCTCGGCGGAACCTGCAAAGAATCTTTAATGCACCACCAGCAGTGGCCCAGAGTTCCTGTTACTCCACATCCTCACCAGCATTTGTGGTTAGTGGTCTGCTGTGGTGTCTCTGTCGTTTTTGTTTGTGATTCTCTGACAATGTGATGTGGAGCATCTCTTCATGGGTTTATTTAATATCTGTATATTTTCCCTGGTAACATGTCTTAACATCTGTAGCCCAATTTGTAACTGTTATTTTCTTACTCTTTGCACTTGGAATAGCAGTACCTTACTAGGCAGGTCTTTTGCAAATGTTTTCTCCCGGTCTTTGTATTCATGTAGTACCTTTTGTAAAGCAAAAGTTGTAATTTTTTTTTCATTTATTTCTGAGAGGAGGCCTGAGTTTGGCCTTGAATTCCTGATCTTCTTGCCTCTGCCTGGAATTTCAGGCATGCACCACCACACCCAAATTTAAAGGTTTTTTGTTTTTGTTTTTTCTCATTTTATTTATTATTTCTATTTCATGTGTATGTGTGTATTGCCTGCTGGTAGGTAACTTGTTAGCTGCCATGTGGGTGCTAGGATTCGAACCTGGGTCTTCTGCAAGAACAACCAGTGTTCTTAACTGCTGAGCCATCTCTCCAGCCCCCTAAAAGTTTTTTTTTTTTATTTTAATGAACTCCAGCTTATCGGTTCTTTATGCCTCTGAGATCTTATCTAAAAAGTCACCCCCAAACCTGGGTCATGAAGATTTTCTACTTTGTTCTTTCAAGAGTTCCGTAACTTATTCATGGAGGTTGTTCTTTATTACATTTATGTGTGTTGGGGGTAGTGGTGGTGTGGGTCAGAATTAAGTCTTATTCCACCATGTTGGAGGGTGCAGGAATCCAGTCATCTACCATGTGGATCAAATGAGGTTATTGGGCTTGGCGGCTAGGCTAGAGCCATTCCACTGGGCCCATAGTTTTGTTTTGTGTTGAGTCTGTAATCCAGTTTGAGTTCACTTTCCTGAAGGGTGGGTGTCACATCCCTGTCTGGGTTCCTCTGTGGTAGTGGTGATTTTTTTTCCAGTTTGTGAACATCTAATTGTTCCATTTAGAATGCTGTCTTTCTGCATTGTGTTGCCTTTGCTCCTGTGTCTGCACTGAGGGGAGTCTGTTTCTGGACTCCCTCTTAAGCTCATGGGTGTGCTTGTCTATTCTCTTGCCAGTATACACTGTCTTGAGTACTGTGGCCCTGTAGCAAGTCTTCAAGTCCTATGATGTCCATCCTCCACTTTTCATCTTCAGAATTGTGCTAGCTCTTCTGGGGTCTTTGACCTCTGCATGTAAACTTTGAATCAGCTTGTGGTATCTACATAATAACTTGATGGTCTTGTCTCTTTTAAGGCTTCACCTGATAAAGAGGCACAGTCAGGGTAATCGCCCTCTTGATTGACTCAGATTCAACTTACTAATTACCTTAATTCTATCTGCAAAAAAAAAGTGAAACAGTTAATGGACTCCACACAGGATGTATTATTAGTCCATGGCTTCCTGCGTCCTCAACCATTTCTATGCTTGGTGTTAGGTCAGGAGTCTAACTCAGCTCCTCTGGCCTCTAGATTCCAGACTGTGCTTTGCTGCAGTTCCCTGCTGTCACTCCTACTTTTCCAGTCCATTTGCTTTTCTCTGTCTCCATGGCTATGCTGTAGGCCCTCATCCCTCCCTAGCCCTCCTGCTGCAGGAGGGTCCTCCTGCCTCTGCTCTTTAGTCCTAAAGCCCAGCCCTGTGGAACCCTTAACTGCCTGAACTGCTGCTCCCTGCTGGGGCCCATTAGCCCGCAGAAGGCATGGCTTCTGGGCTCTGGCTACCAGTCTGTGTTCCCAGGGCTCCTGGGCTTGGTGAAGAACTCTCTCCCTGGAATAGTATTCATTTTATTAGAATAACAAATATATTTGTCTTATCTCTTAGATTATGTGCCTCATTCTTGACTATATTGCCAACATTTGGCACATACTGGATACTTAACACTTTTTTACTTTATGTGTATGAGTGTTTTATCTACAAGTATGTAAGTGCAATCATGCCATGTAGTGCACTTGGAGGCCAGAAGAGGGTGTCAGAGTCCCTGGAACTGGAGTTATGGACAATTGTTAGCCCCCATGTGGGTTCTGGGAATCAACCTGGGTCCTCCGCAAGAGCAGCCAGTGCTTTTAACCTCTGAGCCATCTCTTCAGCCCCAAAAGCTATTTTTTTTTTTTTTTTTTTGAGACAGGGTCTCCCTGTAGCCTCAGCTGGCCTCAAACTCACAGAAATCCACCAGAGTGCTGGGATTAAAGGTATGCGCTATCTTCTTAACTGCTTGTTCTACCACTAACCAGTATAACTTTTCAATAAATACAAGTTTGTTTGTTACATAATTGAATAAAATCCTCTATAACAAGTGGGGAAAACCCGTTCTTTCAGTATATGAATTGGGATATTGGCCAAAAATTATGATTAACTTTTTATATAAAGGTAGTTTTAACTTTGTTACATAGATAGGGCATAGGGAGAGATTAACAGTATTATGTTTGAGACAACACTTAAAATGCCTGTTCAGGGGCTGGAGAGATGGCTCAGCAGTTAAGATCACCAGCTGCTCTTGCAGAGGGACCTGGTACCTACATGGTGGCTAACTCTCCATAGCTCCAGTTCCAGGAGATCCAATGACCTCTTCTGACCTCCACTGGCATTGCAGGACACAGGTGCCTTTACATACATGCAAGCAATACACTCAAACACATAAATTAAAAATAGTAGATAAAATAGTTTTTAAATGCCTGTGTAGCAAGTTTTGCAATATGGCCAGATAAGTATGAAATTTCTCATGTACATATTTTTCCTAATATCCTCAATATTTAGGAATAAGAGTCTACAGTTGGGAAAGATTTGGAATTTGCAGACCTCAGAAATTATTTTTTCTTCTTACACGCTAGTAAATTTCATGCAAATAGTTCTTTTTT